TTAGCATGCACAGGAATAATTTAATCGTGTAGGGAAAGTAAATTGGGACGTATATGTCCAGCTGGTCACAAAAGGGTCAATCTCTGGTACTTTCTGGCTGTCGGTAAACGCGTGCAGACCTTTTCCAACGGAATCCATCGTCGCGTGTTTACGAGATCTGGTGCAGCTCAATAGCAATTCACCCGAAAGCGAGCTTTGTGCCTGCCACGTTTCCGGCAAACTTCTCTTCCCTTGTAACACACTCGCGAGCGAGTTGAAACTCGCGGCCTCCCGGTCGTAGGCGTTTCAGGAAATTCCGAACAACGGTTGTAGTCGACGGCCACGATAAGCCACCCCCGAGGGCGAGACAAACCCACCACCGAAGCAAAGGAACTTGCCAGACGAGGAACCACCACCTCTATCTACCGCCCTGATCCAACGTTAATATCACGAAGAACGAGTAGCTTTCGCAGCTTCCTCGCTTATTATTCGACCCTCTGTACGCGCACAAAGTCCTCCAATGGCCACCGAGCGGAAAGTAACCCCTAGTTGCCTTTCAGAGGGTCAACGGAACTATGCTTGATCGATCTGTTCCCACATCAGGTCTCCTGAATTTCGCATTCCGGGATAAAGATGTCAAGACTTCTCTAATTAAAGGTATCCAGGTCGTTCCGCAAAGGCTTTCATTGGAGCATCCAGGTGAACACTTGTAAGGTCCGATAAAAATAAAACTATCGACGAAACTCTATATTCATTTTAATAACGATATAGCTTTCAGCAAGTTTGACAAATATTACTAACTGCAGAGATTAAAATAATTACCAGCACTAAAATACGAGTAGCAATAAAATTGATGAGTACGAATACAAACTTGTTCGAGAATGACGCGGAGTTATCAAGATTTAACAGGTAGCATATCTCGTGTGGTATTCTCGTCTGGTTGTAAGATAAAGGAACCCAGAAAAAAGAGGACAGTAAAATAGCTGCTTATCTTGACGCTTTTGTCTGGCCGTCCCGTAATTTCTTCGCCATCTGAAAAGGCACTCGCTGCAAAAATCCTAGCTGTCTGCTAACAAATCGCGACGTTTTTGTCCCCGCTTTCTTTTTTTTAAACGCATTCTTTCGCCACCCGACCATCCTCGCTCGAGATTCGTCACGCTGCGAGCGGTTTTATAGACGCGTGTGTCCACTGTATGCGGGCTCGTTCATTGTTATTCATTGGTCGACGTAAACAACCAGCAGAAGCAGCCGTGATATCTCGTTAAACAAAGCGAGGAAGGGAAAATACACGGCTGCTGGAATATTCATGCGGATGACCACTGGCTATACCTTCTCCACCCCCTTTCTATCCCTATTCAAATTACTTGAATATTAATCAATATTCAGTTATTCGATTGGCGTATTTCTTAGGCGATCTTCAAACTTTTCGGTTCAATTTCTGTCGCTTCCAATTAACCACCTTTGGTCCTTCGACTTGGAATTTCCACCTCAAATTTAATTCGTCGTCTCTCAAAATCTTACTTTTTAAATTCATCGATTATTCAAATTCATCATTAATATACTCGTCTTGATACAAGGATTAAATCGAACATGTGATATTAATGCAGGAAACAAATAGTGTAAAATTTGATGAGTATAGTAGCTCGTACAGAATTAAAACGAGGGGACTAATTAATAGTGAAATAAAGTAAGGTCGAAGGTTAGAAAGTTGAAGAGTATTTCGCAATTTTCTTCGTAGCGAAGCAATAACGGGATCTGGATGAAGCATCATCAATTTCTCTCTCGCGACGTGTAATTAAATTTCATCCAGTTTCGTCGCGAATTTGTACACTGTCAATGTTCAGCTACGTTTCTCTCGGACCGTTTCTCCTTACCCGCCACACATTCGACGACGTGCAATCGTATTTCACTCGGTGTCCGGCACTTCCGGTCCAGCGAAGCTTCGGCGGCCGACTTTTTGTCCGAGCGTCACGTACGCGACTACGACGACGACGACAGGGATAAAGTGAGCGCGATTTTATATCGACGGATCGACGTGGGCGACGTCTGCATAATCGTCGGCTGTCCAGCCTCCCGATGTTCCCTTCGACGCCGTCATAAACACGTCCAGTTGTATCGGCCAGACGCTTTTGTCCGAAGTTCTGCAGGTGTATCGGAGATATTGTGCTCGAACGATTCAATATACGAACTATCGAAAAAGTCTATACAATTAACCGCGACAAAGATTCTATGCTGATTCGTTTGCGTTTCGAAGCGCTAACGAAGTCCCGTTGTAAGATGATAAGTTCGAGTTGTTAGCGATGGTCCGCTCGTTTAACTTATTACGCGTAGTAGCTTCCCAATCAAATTGTTGGCGAAACAAATTTAATCAGCTGGAACTCGATTAACGCTTTCCTTCGGGCTAACAATGTTTATCGAAAGCATCGTTTTATTGCTTCCCAGGCGTCGAAACGAAGATGTTCCGGGAAACAGGTTCCCCTTCGATAATCAAAGTACTTCATATCCCGTCCAACTGAACCGCGAACGGACAACTGTTTGCCGCTACCATACCGTATCGATCAACCGCCGTTATTCGTCGAAGAACCATGGCAAAGAGAAAATGATCGAGGGAAGGTGGCGTGAAAGAGGGTCAGGCGTGTACGCGATGGAAAATGCGAGGAGAAATACGGTAGAGAACGGCGAAGAGTGGAAGCGGAGAAAGTGGTCGCCGTGAGGAGAGGACGCATCGAAAGCGGAGGAAAAGCGGAGAAGACCCTCTGTATGAGTCTCTCTTTCCGTTCTCGAATGTTATTTGTATCTGTCCTCTTCTCGCGTGATAGGTTTACGTATCGCGTTTCTATCTCTTTCTTGCCTCGTTTTAGCGGCTAGCGATGGCTTTAAGACGTTCCGAACAAAAAACGCGCCACCCGACAAAAACGTAATTCAACTCCGACGAGGTTCAGATTATTCCATTTATGGTTTTTGTCCCATAATACATTTTAAACTCGAACAATTTGCATGTTTTTGTTGCCCATAATGAATTCGAGTTGCATGTTAACGATGTTGAGACTCACGCTACCGAAAGAAGTATGGCTTGCACGATTTATGACATGTATGCAGCCTACATGACTGATCGCACATGCCATAAATCGTGAGTTTCCAAAGGTCCTTAGACGGGATCAGTTCTGGAAGAACTTTAAATTCTGCTGCATTGCCAAATCTTGACCAATCAGAAAACACATGCAGGGACCTCATTCTCTTCCAACGAAAAACGAGGGTTCTTTAGCTTTAGTGTTAAACAGGTAGGCTGTTTTTCTTAGAAGAGCGCATACGTTTGACCTGACGAGGCAAGAGATCGGAATAAACGGTAAATTATTATAAAAGATACGCTGAGTAGCGCGTTTTACTGCGAAATTGTCTACGTCAAAGAATATCGTTATTCTTCCAGAACGCTGCCTTATTGCGCTTCCAGCGAAAAAAGTGAGAGTTATAATTAGGTTACCGTGTAACGAACTTAATAGATACTTTATTGTTATTATTAACATAATAGGTGTTGCTACGCTGTGTCCACGATATTTTATATTTGTCACAAGATGAGGTAAATAAAATCTGATCGGTCTCTAAAATCTCTACTCGCTGCAACGATGGAGCAAATTGTTGATAGCCAAAGCTAGAACTAGTCTTACTAGTTTGTAAGAGAGCACAATTTCGAAGCAGTCTTCCAATAAAGTTAGAATTAGCTGGTCTCTAGCGATGTAATCTAAACCTTAGAGCAGCTCTAAAATTCGCGGCGTAGAGAATCGAATGCCCATCGCTACTCACCCTGTCTCGCTCTTTCTCTCTGACGAGAAGCTCCGTTCATCCAAAGCCTCCCACGTCTCTCCAGTTTTCTCGTCCACGGTTCAATCGAGCCTCCTCCCTCTATCTCGGCTATGCTCCCCTCTTTCTCTCGTACACCCACCCACCCCATTTGTGTCTGTACACCCTTTGCGTCTCGCGCCGCATGTTTTTGTTGCCCATAATGAATTCGAGTTGCATGTTAACGATGTTGAGACTCACGCTACCGAAAGAAGTATGGCTTGCACGATTTATGACATGTATGCAGCCTACATGACTGATCGCACATGCCATAAATCGTGAGTTTCCAAAGGTCCTTAGACGGGATCAGTTCTGGAAGAACTTTAAATTCTGCTGCATTGCCAAATCTTGACCAATCAGAAAACACATGCAGGGACCTCATTCTCTTCCAACGAAAAACGAGGGTTCTTTAGCTTTAGTGTTAAACAGGTAGGCTGTTTTTCTTAGAAGAGCGCATACGTTTGACCTGACGAGGCAAGAGATCGGAATAAACGGTAAATTATTATAAAAGATACGCTGAGTAGCGCGTTTTACTGCGAAATTGTCTACGTCAAAGAATATCGTTATTCTTCCAGAACGCTGCCTTATTGCGCTTCCAGCGAAAAAAGTGAGAGTTATAATTAGGTTACCGTGTAACGAACTTAATAGATACTTTATTGTTATTATTAACATAATAGGTGTTGCTACGCTGTGTCCACGATATTTTATATTTGTCACAAGATGAGGTAAATAAAATCTGATCGGTCTCTAAAATCTCTACTCGCTGCAACGATGGAGCAAATTGTTGATAGCCAAAGCTAGAACTAGTCTTACTAGTTTGTAAGAGAGCACAATTTCGAAGCAGTCTTCCAATAAAGTTAGAATTAGCTGGTCTCTAGCGATGTAATCTAAACCTTAGAGCAGCTCTAAAATTCGCGGCGTAGAGAATCGAATGCCCATCGCTACTCACCCTGTCTCGCTCTTTCTCTCTGACGAGAAGCTCCGTTCATCCAAAGCCTCCCACGTCTCTCCAGTTTTCTCGTCCACGGTTCAATCGAGCCTCCTCCCTCTATCTCGGCTATGCTCCCCTCTTTCTCTCGTACACCCACCCACCCCATTTGTGTCTGTACACCCTTTGCGTCTCGCGCCGGCTCCACCGCTCCCATCTCGTCGGAAGCTCGCAGTCCGCCGGCGACTGTTCAACGAGAACGACGGCTGCGTAGCTGAGGAAACGTTCTCACCGGGTGTCACGTTTCCGTCGACGGAAATAAATGCGTGTGGTCAAGTGTGTGTCCCTCCCGCGTGCGTTTCGTGCTTGCCCGGTGAAGATCGTCGCGGATCGACCAAACTTGTACGCTCGCACGCGTGATCCATTCGCAGCTGTTCGCTCGATTTCGCCAGCGAACTCTGGATAAGAAGATGTTTCTCGGTGATCAAGAGGAGAACGTTGATTCAGTAATGGCAGATTGAGATCCTTGTTCTCTGGTACGCGATTCGATGTTTGAAGGTTGTTTAGGCGGCGAAATAAGTAGTGTACTTGGTTTCGTTAATTTTTCGAGTATCGCTCGTAGACCTGTAGTTCTACCCTACAGTTTGATGTTTGGATGAGCTTGAACGTTTAGCAATAAAGTGTGGCAATTTTACTTATGGAGTGGTTGGAAAGAACGCAGTAGAATGAACCGTGTGTGGTACGACATCGGCAAAATGGATTATCTGGAAGAGTTTTGATTAGCCCTCTATACGCCGACTTGTAGAACGTTTAGAGCTATGAGAGATAGTTGGACCATCGTTGTATAATTTAGGTGTTATTATTCGTGTAAGTTGGAATGGCTTACGGCGAAAACGATAAAGAGGAAAGTTCGGAATTTACTACGGAAATTTGATACGTTTCGAAGTTACATAGAGGGTTAATTTAGAGTTTCTACATTAAGTTATTTCTGTAATATTAACAATAACTAGTAACGATAATATACGCATAGCAAAAGTTTAAGTCAACAACATCATGCAATTACGTTTTATTCGACTGCGTTGTTAAAATCACCGTCAGCTTCTTATTTAAATCGAAATTCGAAGCGACACCAGCATCCGAATAATTTGTCCGTTGTTACTCGAGAAACGAGACACCGGCTCGATTATTCTTGACAGATTTTCCCGTCTCTTCCTTCAGTACCTTCTTCGGAGTAGTTACCAGAACTTTATAACAACCAGTCTGCGTATTCCGCGAAAGAATAATCGAAATTTAATCTAAAGGAGTATCTCGAAGCCGGGTGACTGTCGGGCGAGCGAAACCACGATGAATTGAAATGGAGTCGCGTTTGAAAAACGTTTGAACCTCATTTACCTCGGGGTGAGCGGCCAAGTTTAATAAAGAGAGGAGGGTGGTCAAACTTTCTTACCAAGGACTTTTAATCTTTTGATCCGCCATTGCGTATCAATCTCAAGGAGAAACCTCGTGTCTCGTGGTGTTACACGAAAACGCGCAACCCTCGCCGATTAAGGGGTCGAGTTTTCTGCGATAACTTTTCTTTTAGCCACAAAAGAATTCCCTACGTTCTAATGACCTAACCTCTAACTTCGGATATACTTTTAAATACTTGTATGCTCCGCCCTGCGGTAATTGTATTACATTCTTGATCGAAGTTTTCTTTTAACTTAATTCGTGAGTATATTATATCGAGTGTTAGAACGCTACGCGCTGTATCGCCACGCTTTGAATGTTAACGCGTTAAATGACCATGCGTAGTGCCACCACGCGTTAGATTACCACGCGTTGTGTCATCACGCATTAGGTCGCCTACGCTAGATTATCGCGCGTTAAATCACCGAGCGTTACATGCGAACGCGTTAAATTGGTACGCGGTGGAACACATTGGAAGTTAGGTTTTGCTTAGATCAATGATCGAGACAAAGAAGTTACTGTGCGCAAAGTGTAATGGAGCGTGATTCCACGTGGAGGAAACGAACCTAAGTGTCAGAAACGTTATTGAGCAACGGAAGTTTCAATTGGTATGTCGTTTCCTCTATTAAGATTCATTCTCAAAGCTTACGACAAAAAGGAGCTCTGTAGACCCCTTTGTTCGTGAAAACAAAAAAAGAAAGCACGCCTCTATCGAACGTTCCGATTGATTCTCGAGTGGTCGTTACGCTTGCACCCTTTCAAGGTCTCGATTATTCGGATCGAGAGGAAATCGATTGTTGACGTCACAGATAATACGAGCTGCTCTAAACAGAGAGCACGACGATTCGATGCGGTTCATTTCACATCTGAAAACGAAACGTCGAAGCTCGCTCTTCGATCAAAGTTTCATCCTCGCCGGGACGTAAATTTATTTTCTACGACGCGCGTTCTCCGCACGAAAACTCGACACCATTTTTCGTCGACGATTTGCGAGAAACGAGATCACGAGATAAGCTTTTCCATTGATACCTTCGTTTCGAGTTAGGAAGACGGTGCTCAATCGTTATACGCGTTTTCTTCGATACTTTCATATTTTCTGCCGCGTTGCGAGCAAAGTAAATAACAAGCGATATTACATATTCTCCATAAATTCTGGATTCTTGTTAATAAAATTTCAACTATTTCCTCTATCGATATATATTTCCCCTATCGACACGGATTTTAAATTCACTTATTACCGTTTCGATACTCGAACGCGTAATCGATACATTCCTGTAAATTATTCGTAGGTCTGGGTCACGAGACCCTACATCGATAAATCTTGACGCGTTGCAGAGCGCTCGGCATCCGATAATCGCTGTTGTTTTTCGATAATTGCCGACAAGTCGCGGGATAAAAGTAGAAGCAGAGCGAATACTAAAATGGTTCCCTTCACGAAGGGTCGGCCTCTGACAGAGGAATGCATTAACATGGCTGTACGGTCGATGTCCGGTGGCACATGCCGGCGCATACGTTATTAAAAAAAAAGAAGTCCGATGGAAAAGATGCTCGTTGAAATTCAGTCCGCAACAGGAATGCTGATATCGGTCTGTCCTTCCGTTAAATCTTGTCTCGTGACGTCAGACATCGAACATCGGTTGCGTTCTCTTCGACGATTATCCCGATACCAGGTCAGACAACGACCGTTCCGCTGCTTTCGTGTTTGCGATGCAAATAATGCGTATAAATATTTACGTTGCAACGGGAACACGCGAATTCTCTGCGTTGATATTCCTTTGACATCGATGACGTTCAAACGTATCGATATATTTCGCCGAATCGTCAGGTGACCCCATTTTTTTTTCGCGTCCCTCTTTAGCTAAGCGGCGTTGTTTGCTCTGTCTTCGACACTCTATTTTTGTTTTTTAACGGTGACTCAAAAATTATTATGCCGCTTCTAATGAACGGGGCTTTTTCATAGTGTTTGCAATGACAGATATTTATGCTGGCGGATTTCTCTTCTCGATAAATATCGGAGCGGGAGAAATAGTACATGTTTGTACCGAATAAACAAGCGTATGTGCGCCTACGTTGCGTTAAATATGAAAAACTTCATAGAAAATGTATCGACGGATATTTATCGTGCTCGCAGATATGAACGGACATTTCGTGCGGAATCGAGGCTGGTCAGCGATCTTATAGCGGGTTCAATTTGCAACTTATTCAGAGTCGAGCATATTCCATGATGATAAGTGGTTGCTTCCTTGGCTTGAGCAAATTCGTTTCGAAATTGATGTAAATTGATAGAATTAATGCCACCATCGCATCCTCCTACTGGCGAAGCCATTTTGTAAAGCATCGAGAGCACAGAATATCAATTATAATAAATTTTAGGAACAAAATAGAAATGATCCTAGTTTTCCATCAATAATAATATTCTCGAGGGGATAGCAATCAATGTATTGGACGGTTGGAACTGTAAAACCGTGGCAAAACGGGATGTGAGAATGGGGTGGCGTACTTTATCGACGTTTTACGACTTCATTAGAGCACCGTTATGAGGTAGATATCGTGGGTTGAACAAAGTGAACTGAACGACGCCGCGATAAACCGCGTCGATTTATGAATACCGTGAGAACCTTAACGACCGTTTGCTAATCATTTCTTGAAGATTTCACGAGGTCCGTATCGACACGTGATTGCTACGCGAATTCGGGAAGCTTGAATAACAACGGACCGATAAACGGACAATCGAAAAATAGGCGTCGAGCCAATAAAAAGCAATTAAATGTTAGCTTCGAGATTTTCCCGAGGCTTTTCGAATTAAAATTATTTTTAAGAGACACTCGAATAAACTACGCGTATCGATCGAGCCGCTGCAGAGGTAATAACGGAATTTATTCTCATTTACACGCGCGCACCGACGCTGTTCAATTATAAAACTAATAGAAAGAGTTAATCAGAATCTGAAATTAACGAGTTAACCAATCAGCAGTTGATAACATCACAATTATTCGGTTACCTGTTAACGCGTTAAATGGCACGACCATCACCGGTAACTGACGCCATGAATTTAATATAAACGGGTAATTAAAGAAGAATCGCAATTACGCGGTCAGCGAAAATGTTAATCACGCATTGGACTGTTTAAACGGTACATAGATGTAACGTTAACACACGGAACGTCTTTCACTTTGAAGTATGCCCCGGTTGATAGACGTTCGAATTTCAGTACCGGAAGTCCCGTCGGACATTGGCGCGCGTGCGAACTTCAATTAGCGGTCGCTGCCAATTAACAATGTACACGGTACTCGTTCACCGGTACTGAAAATGCGGAGGAGAAGCGGATACGCCGCGAATTAACGATTAAACCGATCGAAACGTTTCTCCACCTCCCTCTTCGTAACCATGTTCGTGTCGTCGATTTATCTTGCCGCGTTTTTCTCCTCGTGCGGCGGTTTTGTCGATCTCGCCGGCTGAAAAACCCGCTCCTTTCAACGATTTGACAAATATTTGCGATTTGCAATGAAACTTCAGCAAGCGGCGAGTTCATCCCCTTTTAAATGTTAATCAAAAACGTAGGAATGTCGGAACCGATCGATGTATTGCCACCGAGTAATTATTAATTTTTATCGGTGTTCCGTAACTCCGTACACGGTATCGGTTTTCCATAAAGTATACGCGCGCATGTAGAGCATGCACACAACCGCTAAAGTATTCTCCCACGACGAATATACGCGTTCCTCTCGGCGTAAGAGTCGAGCGTCGAAATCATCTCTCGTTTACACCGATTCCAACAAAACTGAAACTTATCCGTTCGATATCTGTGCAATCAAGCCACGTCCAATCAGCCGAGCAATTTTTTCTTTTGTTCATTCGTCTGCAATTAATTCCCAGCGACGATACTGGAATCACTGAATTCTTTATCGCACAGGATAGCTCCGGAGCCAGCCACGAGATCCACCTGGGTGGCAATCAACCCAGGAATTCGACGAATCTTCCGGCTGGAAAGGCAAGAAAGAAGGGAATCAGGAAATACCTGGGTCGGAATAGCCGGGGAAGAACAATCGATGCATCGGAAATCGACGCGTTCGTGAAAACGAAATGGACAACTGGCCGAGCGGAAATCGCGTTCACCGGAGAAGAAGCCGGGCAGAACTATCGGAACGCCATGAGAGTCGCGCGAACGTTTAACCCTCGCTCGGTTACCGGCAAATCCGACGATGTTTGATTTCTCTCCGAGCGAGACTCGCGTACGACCGACTCGCTGAGCCGGACGATCCTTTCTCGGTAATTGCCCGGCCGGAAAGATGCCGATCGAAACGGCTAATCGTTAGTAGAGCACGTACAGCGATGACTCGCGGACCGATTCAGTCGAGGACGATTCATCTTCGCGTTCGCGCGTGCTAGTGACTCGATAGTGTTTGTGTTGGATTAACCTGGTGCGTGCATCGCGATGATCCTGTGTCCCGTCACTCTGTTCACCTGTCTTCCAACCTGCACGGGTGAGTCACGAATTATATCAATTTTCAAGCGATGGGGACTTTGTTTAATTTGTTTTTTTAGTAGTAGAGAACGACGCGCGATCGAAGAGCCGGAACGTTATCTTGCGCTTTTTTCGGTGTTGCTCATTTTATCCCAGTCTGGTAACAGGGCCGAGCGTTTCACGCGCTCGTGTCATCGCGAAATTCGCTTCTGTCCGATCTGCTACGCCTATGGCCGAGCTACTCTGTTTTTCCGACGTATTTTGCTTTGATGGAGCTTAATCCGCTTATATCCGCGAGGGCGAGCCCTGGCTACCGGCTGGAAATTTTCAATCAACGGATCGTGCGTCCATTTGCCAGATAACTTGTTTTCCCTTTGTTTGCGAATTCGGGCACCGAGTGTGTCACACCTCTGTTAACTAAAACAAGCCTGAAATCCCGTTGCCTTTTCTAGATATCGCTCGCATCTAATGGTCTAAAGAAGCGGCTTCTCGATAAACCTGTTACGCCGAAACGAATTTAGCAAAAATTCTGCTTAGTGTTTCGAAATGAAAGAAATTCTAATCGAGAGATTTTCGGTAAGGGAAGCGTTCAAAGGAACAGCTTCGAGTTGCAACATTCGTCGATATTCCGGAGCGAAGCGTGCATCAAAGTGTCAGAAATTGTTTTACATTTTACTCGTTCGAGGATCAAGAGAGGCGTTCAACAGACTGACAACGTGTAATCATGCTTCGCTCTCTTGACAAATACTATTTATCGTCCGTATTCCTCGCCCTTTTTCTTCCTGTAAAAGTATTCAGAATTTATAATACGAGAAATTGTGTTAAATTTTAAGGAAATATTATTATTAGTTAAATAACCGTCCATGGCCGAGTAGGCTCGATACGAGCAGATACGGTGCTTTGAAATTAAATTATTTGACCTGGAAATAATTAGTAAACAATTCACAGCTAATGAAGATACGTTACGGTACAAAGTTAACTAATACACTTTGGGAAAACAATTCGGAAATTATTGAATCGTTTAGATGTTTCACGCGTTGCGCCGCATTCAATATTCGCTTCCGTTAATAAGATAAATAGGTATGAGCAAGTAACTTATGAAAAGCTTCTGCTGTTTGAACGGATAAATCAACTCTCTCCGATGTTTGGATACCTGCAGATATTTGTTCCGTTCCGTCAACAACTTTAGGTTGAAATGAACGAAATACCCCGTTGCTTTGAGGACTCGCCAAATGTTATACAAAATGAAAGGATCCTAACAGATCATCGGATCCTTTGTTAAATACGTGAAGGAAAATATAGGTCAAAATTTGAAACAACGAATATTTCGCGGTGAAAACAGAACTAGAGAGAATACATTTTTTACGGTTATACGGAAAGTACAACATTTTTCGTACGTTTATGGCTCTGCTCTTATTAAAAATGAAAACCTTTTTCGTTTTGTCGAAATACCAGACATCAAAGTTTGTGCAACTGTGAAATATGATGAACCCCGAGATTTAAATCGTATAATAGTGGTGGAACAGAAATAATATGTACATAACTAACTTTGATGTCCTCAATTTTTACTTAATTTCCATTTAACATAAGCTACAAAGCGTTTATAAAGTTTATCCAACGGTGATAAATTTCGAGGAAAATATTTCGAGCAGAGGCTCTGACGAAAATAAGTAAAGAAACATTCTAAGATGTGATTAATTAAATTGTTTGTTGGTATAAATCAGGGAAGTGGTTCGTGACACGGTATTTGCTGGACACTCGAAAACGTGGCAGATTTTTGGTTCGTGTCCAACGAAGCTTCGCGACCCAAGACGTCCAGTATCCCGATGCATTAGCGCATAATTTATATACGGAAGTGGTAGATTTATATACGTTACGTCGTGCACTATGAGATATGAGTTTACATTCTGCGCTTGCTTCGACCCGTCTTACTTCGTTCGATTCTTGACCGGTTAAAAGTTCACGTTCAAGACTTTCAAGTACGTTCTTCGGTGCACCGAACAATTCGAGTTAGCTGCCAAAATGAAACGCCTGTCAAGTGACTAATTTCTCCGAGAGCAACGCGATGGTAATTGCAAGAGATCGCTGTAAACGGAGTTCCAAGGATTTCCTTGCGCATTCCTTCACGACCACAAGCATTACCATCTTGCTTGAATCTCAACTACCAAGACGAGGGAATAATTTACGCGGGTATTATCATGCGAACCATGAATTTTAACAATTTCTATCGTTCGTTATATGTAAATATTATTTTAACTTAACATTACTTTGAATAATCTCGCGTTTTATGCTCCGCAAAATCTCCGGGTTTTATGGATCTTTTAACATCAGATTAACATCTCCACTCGTTACATCACCACAAATTAGTTTAACATTGTGTCTCTGCTAGATTTTAAGTTAGTCACATGTGGAATTTTTCTACGTTAGGTTTATCACATGTGGAATTCCTACGCGTTAGATTGTCACACATGACATTTCTACGCGTTAGGTTTATCACATGTGGAATTTCTACGCGTTAGCTTTGTCACATGTGGAATTTCTACGCGTTAGCTTTGTCACATGTGGAATTTCTACGTGTCGAGTTTATCACACATGAAATTTCTACGCGTTAGATTTATCACATGTGCAATTTCCACGCGTTAGATTTTTCTACGTTAGATTCATCACATGTGGAATTTCTACGCGTTCGATTTACCACACATGGAATTCCTACGCGTTAGATTTGTCACACATGAAATTTCTACACGTTAGGTTTATCACATATGGAATTTCTACGCGTTAGGTTTGTCACACATGGAATTTCTACGTGTCGAGTTTATCACACATGGCAATTTCTACCCGTTAGATTTATCACATGTGGAATTTCCACGCGTCACATTTTTCTACGTTAGATTCATCACATGTGAAACTCCTACGTGTTCAATTTACCACACATGGAATTTCCACGCGTTAGATTTGTCACACATGAAATTTCTACGCGTTAAGTTTCCCACGCGTGGAATTTCTACATGTAGTATTTATCTCACATGGGAATATCCACGCGTTGGATTTATCACACGTGAAATTTCTACGCGTTAGATTTCCCAGGCGTCGCCACGTATTGCATATTCACTCGTTAGACCGACACGCGTTAAGTATCTGCCCATTAGATCTTAGCGAGTTGTATTGCCACGCGCCGTGTACGTGTTCGAGTTAATAATGCTCGGATCAAGCCCAGATCAATAATCCCTAGATTATAATCGGAGTTCTAATATAGCGGAGTTTGACTATTCGAAGTTTCTAATATTATATAATTCGGAGGTTAAACGAGAACCAATATGATAGGATTGTTCGAACACAGGTGACACAGTTTCGCCCAATCGAGGCACGATCGTGGCTAAACAACACGTCGAAGCGTACACAGGAACGTAGGAAAACTTTCAACAAGCAATTGTTCCCTCCCCTCTATATGAAATTAATTACTCAACTCCTAACGAATATAAGTTGTTACGCTTCGACAAAGTGATCTTGACGAGCTCGTTAGAGCATCGCGCGCGGTTCGGAATTAACGACCGTCCCTGATTGCCTGTAGCTAGTCAGCTCATTGTTCAATTATTAACGATCCGTGTATTGTTCGTGGAACGTTTAGTGGCGTGTACACGGCTATCGAGAGAAGTCGTGTCTTTCAAGTTGGAACCCGAAGTCGAACGCTTGTTCAAAATCGGTTTAACAGAATCAAATTGGGTGCTTCTTCGATCAGAAATCCTCTCGAACGGGAATCGATCTTACAGCATTGTCCGCAACGTTACGCCAATGCTTTCGAGGAAATCGACCATTTTGATTTAGTTACTTCAGAAACTGTAGACCCTATTCAACCGACTTTCGGATTAAATACTTGGTCCACTGGGATTCTTGTAAGAAACATTATCGTGTTACTCGCTCTAATATGATTAACTACTTGCGCAACTGAATTTTGCATCAAACTCTGTAATCTGTGCAATCAAAGCTGAAAGAAGGCTTAACTTTCCTGGCCATTGTAGCGATAAGATCATAATCGTATGATGTGAATCGCACACAAATCGGAGCAACAACGGTCAGGGTACTGCGTCTGACACCTGTAAGGCAAATTAATTCGCGACAGCTGTCTCGGTCGTCAGTTCAATTAAGTGCTGTATGGAGTTGAGCGGCCCCGTAACAAATTAACTCCGCGTTGGCCGATGTGAATCATACGCGTCGAATGGCTCGTAAAAATCGCGATCCGATGGCTCTTTCGAAGCCAGCGTTTTAGTATCCAGCGATAACCTGACCGCTTCTGATAACGGAACACTCGTCGTGGCTTCATTATCGCGCGACAATGGGGTCAGATCGCTGTGATTCCCGTTCTAAACGGCTCTAGAATCCATCGACGTAACCTCGATAAAGTTACGGACTTTCATAATCGAGGGGAAAAAAACGTTATCTGGTGTCGTTCGATTACGTCGTAATAATAATGATCCGGAACGAGTTTATTGAGCAAACGTTTCTGTTAACAGTGAAATTTGGTTAGGAGGATATTACATGTTCATACAAAAATGTTGAGCACATAGCGTACTTTATCTTATAATCGCGCAAATATTGATGCAACTTTGAAGGACGTTGAAATCGCTGCGCTTAGTGCAATTATTCGGAACGATGTTTATTTTTACCTTGACAAATAATAGCGGAAATAGTCGACAACGAATAAATAGCGGGGATTCGATAAGGGCAGGATTTTTGCCCGAAAATAGACACGTTGAATCACGAGCGTTAATACTGCAGAGGATCAACGAAATTTTCATGCGAAAATCGGCGAAACGAAATTTTTCCATCGCGTTTAACTCGCTATTGATGCTTCGCGTTCGGGAGAACGTGTTTATTTTTCCGACGAGATATGAAACAATGGAAATTATATTCCGATAGGATGCTACCGTGTTTGCAGAAGCTTGTGTGCTTTGTTCAAACAACGACCAAACATGATCGATGCGTAGAGCAACGATTTCCCTGCTGGATATTCTTTCCGTT